TGAGTGAACCCAGGCCCTGGGCCGCCTGTGTGAATGTATGTGAAGCAGGCCCTGGGCTGGATACGGGTACTGGGCCAAACACAGGCCAAAGGCAGGCACATGCAACCACCTCAGGTTCAAGGCCTGTTTTCGTCGTGCTGGGCCTCTGGCTACCGGGGCCTACTGGAAGCTTCCTGGGACTGGACGCAGGCAGGCCACTTCGATATAGCAAAGGGCCTGCCTCCGCATTCGGCATTCGGGTGCTGGCTGTATGCTGCGCAAGCGCTGCTGCGCTATTTGCTGGCTGGCACCTACGCTCTCACGGGCGAGCAGGAAAGGAGCATGCAGCCATAGCTGAGCTGCGCTGCTGTAAGCTGGGTGAAGCGCAGGGTGGTCCTTGGGTGCTAGTGGCATCTGTGTGTTGGGGAACAAGGTTGTGAGTGTGACGAGAGACATACCTGGTGCTGGAAGCGTGCGGCGCTGGTTGCTGTATGCTCGTACTTCGGGAAAGCTGTTGACGTCATCTTTCGGCATTGTAGTGTAGGCTAGATAGGATCTGCCACATGTAGTCTGGGCGCCGAGCGCCAGATAGGATATCAACTCTGGTTTTTCGTTGATGATGATGGGACTATTTCAGCATTGTCAATTATGAACTCTTGGTGTGTTCTTATTTGGTGAATCTCATGATGCGATTGTGCTGTTGGTTCAAGGTAACGACTATCTGGACTCATATGTATGATGCTGTTTGATTGCTGAAGTTCGCTATTGCTCATCTTCCTTGCAATTTGGTATCGGAGCTGTGGTACGATTGCGCTCATTTGGCGCTTGTCTTCTGCCTTATGCGGTACATACATGCGGTCTGCTTGGCTAGTTTGGCCGTAAGTGGTGTGTAGTGAGGAGGGTGGAGACGAGTGATAGGCGACCCAGGAGGTGAGGGGATCGCCAGGAAGGCTACGAGATGTGTAATGTGGTCTGGACAGTGTGATGAGAACTATCTAATGTGCGATTGATGCTGAGGTGGAACGGCGAGATAATGCTGGTTGTGCCGATGCAGTGACTGGTCATCGCAATCGCCATCAGGTCATCTGGTGAGATTATCTTTGTGGTTGGGGGCAGCTATTTGAGGTACGTTGCTCTTAACCTTATCTACCCTCTCCGACACTTCTTACCGTGAGGTTGTGTTCCTTCTTGAGAGTCCTCTCATTGTGAGGTGTCGAGTGCACTCAACCTTGAGAGTCGACAATGTTCACGTGGAGCATCTGGGAGAAGATGGGCGGAGCTTTCTAAAGGGCCCTGGACGAAGCACTGGGTCACTGTCACCATGCCAACCCACAGGGAGTAGAGCACGCATGCCTTGCTGCTTGTCCTTTGTTCGGCTTGCTGCGCTGTTAGATGGGTACTGTTGGTCGGGCCAGCCCTTGAGGGAGACGAGACCGGGCGTCTTTAAATAAGCACCGGAAGGGGAACCATTGGCTGTGATCGTTGTCCGGCTGCGACGTAAAAGAATTCCTGGAGTCACTTGGGGGTGGACGTTAAATTGCCTCTGGATCAGCCAATGGTTGTAAGGCTCGCTGCACGCGAGGATAATCCAGTGCAGGGCTGGCCAGCTCAGCAGATACTCGGGGCACAGGGGTGGGCCGGACACACACCTTTAGACACGCAACGCCTCCGGATTGCTCAGGGACGCTGACGTCAAGAGATACTCAGGGGAACTAAGGGAGGGGTTGATTCCAGGTGATAAGTTCGAGAAAATTCCATGCTGTCCTATCCACACAAATGATTCTATTTTTATGTTTTGATTAGTTAGGTGTACAGCCATTGACATCTGATAGACAACATTAGTTAGAACTGCTTCTTGTTCATGATGCTTCTGTTTGCGGACTAGTCAAACTAAAAATAGTTTTATTTATAGGAATCTGACTTACCTGTTGACCTCAAGTGATATCTGTTCCAAAATAGCAACCGCCTAATTAGTTGGTCTGTGCATTACGCTGCGGTAGGCATCTAGAGTGCAATAGTGCAGATTGTGTACAGTGCTGTAGCATATGAACGATAGGGAGGAACAGCAACCGGACGACCGGATCTTGCGATCGGCAAGGCGCCCAGTAGCCCACTTGGCATTAGGACCAGAGGGCGACAGACAACTGTTCCGTCAACTTAGGGAGAGGCAGCAGCAGCCGAGGAGGGCCAGAGCAGCAGAGGCTAGCAGGGCACTTGTGAGTGAAGCCGCAGCTTCATAAGCTATGGCCACCTCAGCACAACAGTCCTCTCAGGCTGACAGTTCAGGGTCTGTCAGGTCAACGGTCGCGCAGACCCAGAGTCAGTCCACTGGCGTAATGGCGAGCCAGCCATTGGTGTTGACCCCCGATGAGATCGCCATGCAAGAGGCAGCTCTAAAAGAGGCACAGCTACAGCATGCATTAGGACAGATAAAAGCGGAGAAGGAAAGAATGATTAGAAGAAGAGCCAGGATGCAGTGGAGAGAAGCGGACGTTAGTGAGTTAGAGGAGATGGACCTAACGCACGGAACGGATGATGTGAGGATTATCCGGTCTGTCCTGCTGAATGTAGTGGAGATGCAGGACCAGCAAACAACCATCCGTTAGGACATCCAGCAAAGTCTGGCCCTATTGGTTGGGCGAGCGCCAACAACGTCGCCAATGTCCCGGCTTGGTGCCTGGCCCGCTGTACATCCTCCTCCTCATGTCCCACCGGTGATTGGGGTATCCCCATATGTAGCCCCATCATCGGTTGCGATCGTTTCCCTGGGCATGCCGCTTTGAGGAGGGGTATCAAAAGGAACTAGTTTGCAGGTTCCTGTACAGACAGTGTACACCCAATCTCCGTTGTAGGTTGCGGTCACCACGCAGCCTGCTGCCTCGCAGCCTGCGCAGCCGCAAGGCATACAGCCCCAACAGCTAGCACAGCAACTTGTGTCACAGGGTCCACAGCCCGCCGTGATGCAGGGACCGGGACAAACACAGTGGGTTCCAAAGACGACCATCGCCGTCTGAAACCCTTTACAGAGGACAAGAGAGGCGAAGACCTCAACACGTGGTTGAGGTCAGTGCCAGTCTATGTCAGGTGTAAACTTACCTTGCCGCACGAAGAAGTGCTTGTGGCTGCTTCCTACCTAGAGGGTAGTGCAACAAGATGGTTGAGTGGTTTAGTGCAGCTCCAGGGGTATGGTCATGAATTCTGCGCTTGGGCGGTTACCCAGAAATGATGGTGGAAGAAAGGTGGCACGATCCTCAGAAGGCCCAAAGGGCCACTGATGCGATCCTGACACTGCACACGCGGCAATTTAAGTCAGTAAGGGAACCCACCGACGCTGTTGAGTGTCTGATCTGTGTCCCAGGGGTGCGCTATGACCCCCAGGTTTTACTTACCTCGGTACCTGAGATGCTTCTCTTTGCCTCTCAGGAACCAATTGGCAAGTCAGGCCAACATCAATGTGCACAACTTTCCTTTGTTTAGCAAGATGGCCCTAGACCTTGAGGCGAAGATAGGGCATAGACAGACACCCACTACGGATGGAAGGAGGAAGATATTGCCTCCTAAGTGGAAGGCGAAGTGCCGCAACAGAAGCTTCAGAGGGTGGAGTAGTCGCTGTCGTTGCTCAAAAAGGTAAGGCGACCGGTAAACGCCGTGGAGGTTCCCGATCTAGGAGTCAAGCTGACCCCAATGCTCCTCCATGGGAGAAAGCGGGTCTCACAGAGGATGTGTGGAGAGATCGGTACTCACGGCAGGCCTGTATTCGTTGTGGCCAATATGGCCATAACCAGTTCAAGTGCCGCAACAAGAAGGTGACAGATAAGATCCCGCCTACAATGGGGCAGGTGTTGGGATCCTCTCATCCCGTTGGTAGCAATGTTGCCAGTACTTCAGGCAGTGCTCCGAGAAACACGTCGGGCCAGTAGGAATAGTAGTTGTTCCTGCTAGGGTCGAGGTGGTGGAGACACCCTCACCATCTCGAGAGATGGCCCAAGCTACTGACTTTAGTGTCGTCCTGCAAACACGTTCAGACCCATCGAGCCTCTGTTCGATGAATGTGTTTGAGTCCTTAGAGGAGCTAGAGGTGGAGTGGTCTAGATCAGTCCCGCTAGCTTCTTGGACGGCCCTAGTCAAAGCC